ATTTTTCATCCGCGAAAGTGGCACATCTACTTTGCCCGCGTAGCGCACTACTCTGTCCAAAGAAGGCATCTTCACATGATGTGAACGCTCTTCAAAGGTGCCTTCAAATCGACATTGGTCATGAGGCAGCGGTTTCAACTTGCGAAAATCCACGAGAAGTGACAAGAGAACGATATCCTGCTAGTTTTTTTATTACTACGCACTACGAGGTTGCTGTCAACGCCCCGCGCCTTTTGGCTTAGGAGCATTTCGCATTTTCTGCTAATTCGTTTCGATAGTTCATTTTGACTAACGGGTCTCGTTTTTGTCAGATCTCTCGGCTTCAGCGAATCTGCGAAATCGTTTGAGTGAGCCGTTTGGTCACAGCAATTTATAGGTTCTTCACAAGACCTTTACGTGGGCCTGGACTCTGCGAGCATAGCTCGGACCATTCGTTGCCCTCACCCAGTCCAAGTGCGCTTTATAGGCTCCTCAAAGCCTTAATTTCTAGATCCACGGGACACTCACATAAAGCACATTCCACGCTAATCATATGGGCGGGGTCACCCGAATCAGTGCGCTCTCTCATTGCATTCCTTGAAGGACGTCAGAAACAAGTAGTGTAGCAACAACGAAGACGGTGTGATCCAGGTGTCTTCGCCCCTAGGACCAACGTGGAATTTGACTTCTGCAACGATACTGCACAAACTTGATTCAGACACGAACTTGTAATTTAAATCTTTTATTATGCGCTTACGAGCATTCCTAACAACATAGAAAGCATAGGCAAAAACAGTGACAAAGTGAATTCATCATAGCAACGGTTTCAAGGATAACACTTAGCAATGATGTGAACAACCCGAGACATAAGCCTGAACGTCGTGATAAGCAGATCGATCTGCCCATCACTCGTGGATTGGCTACGAGTACTGTCAAACAGATAGCCGACGACTAAAACCACACATATTTTTAAATGAAAAATAATATAAGAATCTTAGTGACACGGTTTTTAGAGCATCAACGGGTTTTACTAGACTGAATATAGGCAACATATCAACAAGGCAGAGACCAAGGAGAGTAGAAAAAAATTGAACGATTCAGCTGTTACTGGCACCATAAAGTATTAGGATATCTGACGAACCATTCTTAGACAATCAAACATATAATCAGTAAGAGAAGTAAACATTAAACACAACAGAAACGTGAACGAACACCATCGTGAGGTTGTCGAAGCTCTACAGTGCAACCTGCGTTTCGAGCAAATGTATTTCTTAGGTAAGCTTGCAAATCTCAATATTTTCAGAGCATCTATGCAATGAACGATCGAATACACCTCTGCGGTGCGCATAAAAATATATATCTATCTACATGAAAGCGTTAAAAGCGAAATTTATCATGTCATCACATGATCGAACAGCAACCTTTGTTTTCTCGGGCCTTATTTTGTACATAGTTCATCTCACGGACGATTTCGGCAAACGTCACATTCACGTTATGATTATTCTTTGCAGAACATTCCGTGAACGGACACGACCAATACTCGGCTGAAAGCGAGAAAACATTAATGAAAAACTGTGCTGTAACTAAGGGTGCCACAAGAATGCCTGTGGACCGTGCTTGTCTAAGGTTAGAACTGGATAAGTGAGTAAAGAGATCATTAATCGCGCGGCTGCATGGCTTTCTCGACTGCAGTAATCAAAACTCACGAAAAAGGACTGTTTGGCACGATTCCACCATTTCAATTACAAGCGCCAATTTGGCGCCACCACATCTTTGATCAACTCTGCATAAACCTGCTTACCGGGGTAATTTGGTGCGCTAATCACGAATATAACATTTTTTCCGAGATCAGCGCCATTTAGCCCTCTGCTGAGACGGAGCCTTAGTAAAGATGACCAGAGTGTCCTAAACTAGTGCCGGCTCAAAGACTTCCGTCACATTCGTAATCAGGGTGTCAAATAACGTCACATACAAAATCCGGACCAAGGCACACCCTACCAAATTCACACTGGAGTTCGTTCCTTCAGGATGTCTTGTTGGGAGGTCAATTCGAGAAAGAAGATATCGGAGGCTTACTGAGCAGAGTTTTTCCATCTCTCATCATGTACTCTGATCAAGACACCTCTAATCCTTCAAATACGGCAACCACTATGGCACTACAAAGTTTAACACGCTACTAAAAACTTGGTTTCGAAAGAAAGCAATGAAAGTACCCAGTCATAATTTTTATGGTGGTTGAAGGAAGAGAGGTGAAGGAATACTGGAAGGTCAAAGAACTGAAAAAGATCAGGGAGGGCTAGACTCACGGCAGGACACGTCTTGGCCTTGGCGAGAATTTTCGCTGAATACGACCCTTCTTCCCCCATCCCGCCGCTCCTAAGACAACCGACCGACCATCCTACTACATAATCCGCTAAGTTTGTCTGTTGGTGTGTGTATGTATTTATGTATGTATGTGTGTCTGTATGGGTATTTGACCGGAAATTCATAACTTCCTTTGATTTCAGAGTTCAAAGTTTTGAGTTGTGTAGGAGGTGGGACAGGAATATTGGTGGGTGGCAGGAAGTGATAACAACTGATAAGATACCATAAAAGGCGTTAGAAGGGGTGGGCCACGAACTTCACATCTTGGAATACAGCAACGATGGGACGTTGGTTCCAATAGCGGGTAGGTTGGAACATTGGTGGGTGGCAGACGTGATAACAGCTGATAAGATACCATAAAAGGCGTTAAAAGGAGAGAGTACCCAATTTCATATCTTGGGCCACAGCAACGATGGGACATTTTTTCGAATAGGTGATGTAGGGGGTAGGTTGGAATAAACATTGGTGGGTGGCAGAAAGTGATAACAGCTGATAAGATACCATAAAAACTGTTAGAAGTAAACGTCCAAGATGCTCGCCAGTGAGGAATGATAAGAGCCACCGACAGGAAGATGCATGAAAATGCTTCACCACTTTTACCAAAAGATCCTACTGTATATAATCCGCTAAATTTGTCTGTTGGTGTGTGTATGTGAATGTTTGTTTGTCTGTCTGTATGTGTGTTTGACCGGAAATTCATAACTTCCTTCAAAACAGCGATAAAGCGCTCAAACTGATAAGTGATGTAGGGGGTCGGGCAGGAAGTGATAACAGTTGATAAGATACCATAAGGGGCCTCAGAAAGGGAGGAGCATCAACTTCATAACGCGCGTCACAGCAAGGCTAGAGCGTTGGTTCCAAGAAATAAGATAGGGGGCAGGATGGAAACATTATTGGTGGGTGGCAGGAAGTGATAAGAGCTGATAAGATACCATAAGGAGCCTTAGAAGGAGTGGGTTACCTAATTCATAACACCGGCCAGAGCAACGACCGGACGTTGGATCCAAGTAGTAAGGGGGCAGGATGGGAACATTATTGGTGGGTGGCAGGAATTGATAACAGCTGATAAGATACCATAAGGGCTCTTAGAAAGCGAGGGTCACCAAATTCATAACACCGGCCACAGCAACGACGAGACATTGGTTCCAAGAAGTAAGATAGGGGGCAGGATGGGAACATTATTGGTGGGTGGCAGGAAGTGATAACAGTTGATAAGATACCATAAGGGGCCTCAGAAAGGGAGGGGCATCAACTTCATAACGCGCGTCACAGCAAGTCTAGAGCGTTGGTTCCAAGAAGAGCTGATAAGATACCATAAAGAGCCTGAGAAGGAGTGGGTCACCTAATTCATAACACCGGCCAGAGCAACGACGGGACGTTGGATCCAAGTAGTAAGATAGGGGCAGGATGGGAACATTATTGGTGGGTGGCAGGAATTGATAAGAGCTGATAAGATACCATAAGGGGTCTTAGAAAGCGAGGGCCAACTCCATAACGTGCGTTACGACGACGACGGGACCTTAGTTCCAAGAAGTAAGACAGGGGGCAGGATGGGAACATTATTGGCGGCAGGAATTGATAACAGCTGATAAGATAGCCAGGAAAATTCACAGCAGAGTTGTAGCAACACTGGGAACTGCTCCAGCAAGTAATTCAGAGGTGCTTAGGGAACATTAAAGGTGGAAGATAAATTCTGACAGTGTCCTACAAGGGCTTTTGGGAGTCCGTATCTGCTCACATCACCGTAACCAAAGAATCAATGGGCGAAGGCTTAGTGAGTCAAGATGTTTCCCATTAGTAAAATCCCTCAGTTTAGCGGTCGGAATTGCTTCCACCGCTAAACGCTCGAGTTCCCCGAAAAAGGATGTTTGGAGTTGTTGCCAGTGAGGAATGATAAGAGCCCCTATGATTTCGATATTTTTACCATCGGAATCCTTCCAACCGCTATGCTGTCCTATTTCCAACGAATGGTGCTTTTAGAAATATGATAAGAACCTAACATTGGCAAGTGTTCATTAAAAGGGAGAAACATGATGAAATGGGCCGTTTTGACATAGGAATTAGGGTAAGTGTTAGTGCTCAGCACAGGAATCCTGTCAGTTATCAGTAACATAGGTTTAACCATGCGCGCAGAAATGCGCGTCAGCCAGACCGGTATAAATACATTTTACTATCCTCTCAATATTGTTATTATAGAAACTCTTTCAACCGCTAGGCTGTCCGTATTTCCAACGAATGGAAGATGTTTTCAGAAGTGTGATAAGCACTAGGCACTGGCAATCGATCATGATTGAGTTGATATAACCGGAGATAGGTAGCTTGAAGATAAAAGTTAAGCTGGAGTTTGTTGAAGGTTGCTGCAGATGTACTGTCATTTTTCAGTTGCACAGGCTTGATCATTACATGCTCGCAGAAGTGCGCGTTAGCCAAACTGGCCTACATATAGTGCGCACGGAACGAGAAAAATAAGCAAGCGGAGAACTTTTTCTATGCCAGCACTTACCACCTCCGAGGTTCCCCAACGCACGACGTGCCCTGCCTTAGAGTGGAAGGTCGCAGAAAAGCCAAGCAAAGATAATCGAGGGGGGGGGGGGTGTAAAGGAAATGTCAAGACGATATCTGCCACGAAATTAGGAGTATCTGCATCTACTGGTAGTCTACATATTGCATGTGATGACAAGCGTATAAATACGTAGTAAACGCCACCCACCGAGAGCAATGCCTTCATCTGTCCTCACTTGTCGTTGATGTTGCAAATCGCATTTATTTCCGACAAGGAGAATAGGTACTTGTTCCGTTCCCTAAAAGGAGCCATTATCAGGAATGTAACACTTCACTACGGAACTCGAATGAAGAACAAGTTATACCTTGACCCGTACAATTTGCTCCCGCATCGTCTTAATGTCATGGAAAGTTTGCTGGCTCGTTATCGAATACACTACTACAAAACCCTGCAATGAAGTAAAAGTACTCATAGAGATTCAACGATTGCCTGGATCATACTATGGTTGCACAGTAGTATTTCTTCTCTCTAGCTCACATTTCTATACTAAAGTCAGCAAAATCACACGACTCCGCTCTGAAGTTTTCCATAGTTTTGTAAAAGTATTAGTTCCAAAGTTTCTCGTTTATCAGCAAGATACGTTGTGCGAAGTGTAATAGTTCCGAGTCAATTTTGCTTTCAATTTTCCAGCCTGCGACAGCGAATGTCAACATGTGGGAGACAAGTCATGAGAACTACAGGAAGCCTTCCAAACAGTGAATAGAAATAGGACGCATTAGCGATATCACAGGTGCAACGATACCAACAAGGTACCCCAACAAATACATTTCACCTCAAATTGAAAACACTAAAGGGCTGTTGAGCATGATCAGTGCTAACTGCACGAACTAATGAAGTGATGAAAAGTGAAACTCTTCCACGCACAAGTTTACTCATCTAAAGAATGTACAGTTTTGCGCAGTAAAACGCTTGAAAAATAAATAGACTTGGGTAGAAAAGCCACTACAAAACAGCAATGGTTTGCTTGTTTCGTCCGCAACCTCGTACAAACCATGGTAATTTCGGTTACGGGGCAGATGTCAACCAGACGATCTCTCGCTGCGAGGGTCCAGGGCTAATTTCACGGGGCATCTACCAGTCCAGCAGTTGAAGGGGAAGGTAAAGGAGGAGGGATCAGAGAAGGAAGGAAGAAAAAGAAGGAAGGAGGGGAGAAGCTTTCCGGTTGACATGTGCCCTGAGACGGGTAACTTCGTCAATCCCGAGACTTATCAATAAGGCGGTATCGACTACATAGGGAGGGAGCTTAAAATAAGGTTATAAGTTCACGTGAGACACTCATGCAAAATCCATGCTCATTATATTATATATATATATATATATATATATATATATATATATATATATATATATATATATATATATATATATATATATATATATATATATATATATATATATATATATATATATATATATATATATATATATATATATATATATATATATATATATATATATTATATATATATATATAATCATAGCTCTGCAAAGAGAACAAAACCCATACGAATACGGACAACAAAACAGTTTTGTTCAACTTTGGAAACATTACTTCATGGTAAACGCGGATCACTGCATGCGAATCAAGGAAACTTGTCGCTAAACACGAACTCTACAAAACCTCCTTTTCTTTAACACTCATCTGTCTAAGAATCCTAACTTCGTGATTTCATCAGTGTACATCAAAATACTCCAGGAAACTCGTTGATGGGGAAGAAGGTTATATCCTTCCACGTACTACAGAAGACAAGTCCTACCCATCCAGGATTTCTCCCCCATGCCGTGAAACAGTTTCAAATTACGCTTCTCTAACATAATTAGAATGATGACTTGAACAGAGCATCGCTATCTATTCAACGCTATATTGAAATTACCTTCCTCTAGAAATAACGGCACCTTGCTAGCAGGGCACATCGTTGTTAAGGAATCCCCAATAGGAGGGAGGGAGGGGGGGGGGTCGTATTTGGCCGCCAGGAGAGAGGAGGTCGTATTGTCTCGCGACTTTTCCTGTTTCACATGTGTTAGTTACCTCCTCCCCCACTCTAGCGCGCTCGACGGCTCGATTCGATGAGGAAGGACAGAAGAGGGCCGGAGGACGGGGAGGGTTCCTACAGACATGATTAAAATCCCCAACCAATGATGTGCCCTGCTTCCCAGACTATGAGCCAGTGAAAGTTTTTCAAAACACAGTAACCCCAATATAGACTTTCAGTAGTAAATTAGACTGTGCTGCCACTCGGGAAAAAAATCTCAAGAAATATATCAATTCGCAAAACAATGGTTGGCTATCATCAAGAATCCTGCACTCTTTTTCATGAATCAGCATTACAACACCAACAACATTATCAGTTAGGATTGACTCATTCGTTTTCTTAAAGTCAAAGTTCATATTCACACTCCGGTTGTCTTCTGTATCAATTTTAAAGCAAGCTTCCCAACCAGTTTGGCTTTTTTCGAAACTGGTTTTTGGAGGGTTTTGCGAGCTAATTTTTCTCGAGCATAATCACACATGTAAATTGTTGCTGCACAAAATGCGCTGGTGGTGGCTCATTTGCATTACATTTTTCCTGGCAAACTGAATTGAGCTGCTGTCGACCCATTTTCGCCGTGCTATGCATCTTTAGTTCTTACAATTTCCAGCAGCGAGTTCAAAAATAGAATATTCCGACCGATCGTTCAGAAGTCACAGTTCTGCGAGGGTTGGAGGGTTGGCGAGTGGGCGGGGGACTTTTGTACGTCTGCTACTTCTCAACAACTTGCCACCGGGTGCGGACCTGTGAAATCATGTGAAACCAATAAGGATACCAGCCAAAGTTTGTAGAGATCATTTGTCAACTCTTGTAAAGAGCCTCTAAACTCTCCAAAGCAATGAAATACCGTACAAATACCA